GACACACAAGGAAAGAAAAACATTTAAAAGATTTAATTTGCATGATTGACTGACATCTGTTGAGTGGTTGTATGTGTATCACAAGAGAGACATTGATCTTGACACTTCATTAACTATACTATGTTTTCTCAACAGTTGAGACATCAACTTCTGGAAAGACTTTTGGGTAAAATACAATTGGCATTCACAGCAACCCCACTAAATTTGGATTACATAGAATCAGTTTTTCGCCAGGAGCTGTATCTTCTGCAGGTCCTATCCAAGCACACACAAGTACCAGCTGCTATCACCCAGGCTTCGCAGGAACACTTTGAACTTGTGAGAGCACAACTGGAACATCCAGCCCCATGTGTTTGAGTGGAAATCACAGGCACCCAAGGACGGCCCAAAATTTTGGTCGACAAACAGCGTTTGAAGGAAATGCTTGATGTCCAGCTTCCTGTGTCTTGCATAGCCACACTGATGGGTGTGTCAAGAAGCACAATCTATAGATGAATGAAAGAGAATGAGCTCTCTGTCAGGGAAATGTATAGTCCCATGCATCACTGATGCTGAACTTAACAATTTGGTCTCTTCCATCAAGAGTGACTTACAAAATGCAAGCTACAGGATGATGAAATGCAGACTGGAGTGTCTGGGACACAGAGTCCAGTGGAGATGAGTTGAAGCCTGGTTTTTCAAATCTGCAGAATTTTCATAATTTTAAACACAGCAAAAACACATTTGTCACTCTTACAGGGACTACCTTTTGAATAATCAAGTGCTATCACCAAAATGATACTGATTTAGCTCCCACTGGTAATATTGTGTTAATTCATCATGAAATGCATTTAAACATGTTAATAGACAATATTAAGGTGATTATAACAACAATCCTCACTGTTTCTAGATGCTGGCTCAGACAGGGCACTCTGCAGCAAAGACACCAGCCGCTGCGCAGCATCCTGCAACTCTCCCTATCATAACAGTCCACATGGATTAGCATTAATAGATGGAATGGGCCTACCATAAGCAGATCGTTTTGCTGAGCACAACATTAAGCAAAAGTTAACAAGACAATAACAACAACAACAACACACATTTATGGCTGACAGCAGGGAGGCTATTTAACCCTGACCTGTATATACTGGCTGCAACTATGGGAACTTTGCAAGTCCAGTCGCTGTTTTGCTATCCCATGTGCATTTGCTTTCAACAAAGCTGGTTGGGGTGGAGGCAGAAAGCCTCAATTCTACCTCGTAGCAAGTCAGTAAACCATCACAATTACTCCCAAGCTGTTCAATAATTTAAATATCTGTCTGTTCCTCAACTTACCTGTACCTCTTTCTTCTCTGACATATCGATCCGCCATGTCATTAAGTAGTTTATATTTATCTGTATAAGTGAACTTTGAACTAGTTTGAACTGGCACAACAATGAAGAGGAGCAACTCAATTGTGTCGCTAAAAGAAATACCGTTCAGTCATCGTAGTAATCAGGATAAATTGGCATTTGATGCATTAATGTGTGGGCAGCATTTTTACTATTATAGTTTGTCAAGGTAGAGCTCACTCATCTCTATAACGTTAGTAGTTTATTCCATAACAATGCATTATATTTAGATGGTTTCTTATCAGTTTCCTTATAAAATCTGAATCTAAAAAGTAAATAGTAACATAATTGAGTTATCAAATGAAATAAAAAGTACAAAATCTGAGATGTATTGCAGAAGAAGTACAAAGTAGCATGAAATGGAAAGTACCAAGTAAAGTACAAGTACCCTAAAAATTGTACTGAAGTACAGTTCTTGTCACTGTAAAATAGCCTAAGGAACAATCCATGTCTTATGTTGCCATCTAGTGGATATTTTGTGATCTGCACTGCTAACTGTAGCAAGTAGAAGACTATGCCAACATGAACTTATTTGTTCTTGACTTTCTGCACCTTAAATAAATTATTTAATCTGATTATTGTGAGACTCACTTAAATTGTTACTGGCAAAACAGATCTCTCTTCATATTCAAAGGTCCTGATGGATGACAATTTATTTTTGACCACAGTGGATGATTTTTCAGTCATTTTAGAGCCAAAGTAATTTTATTGAAAACCTGTCTACAAACTGACTGTACAGTATTTAGTCTAAGGAACAATACTTGTATTGTGGTTACTGGTGGTATTGTTATATGAGGTGGCCGGAAAAAAACAAATGTTATGCAAATGTAGGTAATGCAATGACACAATGTCTAGCTGACTTGAGTTTATTCACCCATTAAACAGGTAACCTTAGTCATCATCACAACAACTGCCCCCCTGAGAAATTTGGCCGGAGCTCCCGCTGCTGTTCAGGCCTTCCTGCCGTAGCTGTAGACAAGGATGAAGGTGCCAAGAGAAAGAGTGATGCACAGGAAAATCAGATCACAGAATTGTGGTTGACTATAAATATAACAAAATTTAAATAATATGGTGCTTTTCATTTCTATGTTTTCATTTGAAAACAGCAGGAAAATAGATTCTATTTTTTAAGTTTACCAAAACTGCTTTTTAATTGATATAGGTTGCACTGAATATGGAGACAAGGTTTCGAGATGCTGATTTGAGGTCACAGGAAATCCTTTGCATGTCTCTGCACCCTGGAATGGTCAAGACTGATATGGAGTGCCCCATGAAAGTATTGTGTAATTTCTCAAACTGCATAAAAAAAACCAAGCACACACATATGGGCGGCTATAGCTCTGGAGGTAGAGCAGGTGGTCCAGAAACCAGAAGGTCGCAGTTTGATCATAGTCTGCAGTGTGACTGCAGAAGTGCAGACAATTTGTATATATACTGTATATAAGCACCGTATTTCTTACATATATATATATAAGAAATACGGTGCTTACGGGTTCATAGTCAATACTACTTTAAATGTTTTCTGTACCCTCTCTCACTTGTTGTTGGTGCGTAAACAAGTTTCATTATAGTTTGTCTAATTAGACTACATTAGTTTTAACTGATGTTAATTCCAGTTGTTCCATGTAGTTGTGGCCTTAATTTTTGTATCGTGCAGGATTTACAACACAATGAAGACAGCTTGAATATGCTGCATGTGGTGACTATAGTAGTTATGTTCATTATCATGTTACAGTTGAAGTTCTGTTCCTCTCCCAGTGTACAGCCAAAATTTGTGTTATTGCGGCGCTGTGTCAACACAATAGGTTTAACATGAGCAACTGTTTGGGGTCAGTAAAGTGACAGTAGTATATAGCTCATATTTGCCATATTTACAAGAAAAGTCCATATGAATTTCTCCTTGTTGTGTTCATAACTTATAAGTTGTCACGTGTTTGCAGACATTTTCTGGTCAGAGGTCATGGAAGTTGACTGTTTTGATGAATGGAAAAGTAATTTGCTGTCATTTTAGTCATGTAGAGTTTTTTTATTTGTAATTTGTCTGAGGATACAGTCCCATCTTTACTCACTTACCGTAGTTAGTAATTTTTGCATACTACATGTGACCTCTTTGTTTTCTGGGGAGCTATATTTATTTGAGATTGTGACTCACCTACTTTATAATTGTATTATTGTAATTAACATTTTATCTTATCATTGATTGTTCATATTTTCTTTTTATTTTATTGGCAGACATGTCCTTTCATAGACAGCAGTGATTTTTGGAGGGAACATTTATTTTCCATAATGGAAGTGATCAGCTTTTTCTCATGCCACAGCAATTATTTACAATATCACAACATCTCATGTGTTAATTCTCCTTTTATCAACAATTTTCAGTAGTAAATGCTGTTCTCTGGAAACTGTGCTCTGTCTAAGCAACTTCAGTGTTTCAGGGTGTCTGGATACCACTGTGTTTCGGCAAAATATATAATCTTACCCTGCGAAAATGAGGTGAATAATACAAAGTAATACAGTACTTAAAGCTATTCAAAATGAATGTCATAATTGTAGCTGAGTTTGAGTAATTTCAGTTGGCACATCTTTCTTCTGACCAATGACCATGGACTATATAAAAATTACTTACCATGGTAAGTTGAAAGACTGTGTTTGTCTCTCTCTGAAATGAAACTGAATGTCTCATCATTTACTTGGGCTGAAAAAAAATAAAAAGGAATTTCTTCTACTTTGGTTAATGTAACATTATAAATTCTACCTCACAAGAGTTTACAGTTTTGATGTTGCTAACATTGTTAAGTTTTAGCTTCAAACATGGAATTCATTTTTGTTATACTCAGATATTTAACAACTTTAAGAGAGAACAAATCAAAAAGTTACTTTCACCTTCTGCAAGGTGTTGAACTATTCTTGGCTGGTTGGTTCCTAAATTGATGTAAGTGTATGTAAGTGTAAATGATGGAAAAAATGAAATTCAAGCTCTCTTGTAAGTCCAGTGCCATAAATGTGTTTATTTGACTCCATTCTCTTAAAATAGATGGTAGTATATTTAAATAATTATACAGTGCTGTTTTCTGATGAGAGTTCCCTATTACTTAGATGCACCTACAGTCAGCAAACACACACTGATCTAAAGTGGAGATCAACTTTTATTTACATGGGAGCAGAGGGATCTGATATTTGTATTAGGAGGAATAGAGTTAAAGAAGAGTTAAGGAATCAAATCTTTGGTACAAGGACAAATCTAGTGTCAGAATGTTGATGGAGCTACAGTACGGAGACCTTCTGGGTAGCAGGAGTGTAGAGAGATGAGCAGCAGGGATGCAGAACCATTAGGGATTGGCCAGTTCATCTGAAGTCACAGAGGAAGGCAGGGTGTCCAAAGCTCCCATCTCTGAAACACATGCATGCGCACCCACACACACACACACAAACACACACACACACACACACACACACAGTTGTCTGATTAGATTTCCTTTAGACATGTATTTTCTATCAGACATAAGGTTTCAAGTTCAAAAGTCAGTCAAGATGTCTGCCAAATACTACACTGTTAAAAAAAATGAAGGGAACACTTAATTGTCACATTTTAGCACCAAGTCAGTTACTCTTCAGGCATATCATCACAGGCATTTGTGAATCAATTTCACTTGCTTTGGTGCAAATGAATGTGACAACAGGTGCAATGGAGTAGCAAAAGCAAGATAACTCCCAAATGGGAATGGTTTCACATGGTAGAACAGCTCCTCCAGGATGGCACATCCATACGTGCAGTTGCAAAAAGATTTGCTGTGTCTCCCACCAAGAGCATGGAGGAGATACTAGGAGACTGGCTGTTCCACGAGGACAGCTGGACAGAGCCATAGATGGGCATCAACCCAGCAGCAAGACCAGTATCTGCACCTTTGTGTGAGGAGGAACTGGAGGAGCACTGCCAGAGTTCTACAAAATGACCTCCAGCAGGCTACTGGTGTGTATATTTCTGACAAAACTGTCAGTAACAGACTCCATGATGGTGGCATGAGGGCCCAACATCCTCTGGTGAGAACTGAGCTCACAGCCCAGCACCATGCAGCTCGATTGGCATTCACCAGAGAACACCAGAATTGGCAGGTTCGCAACTGGCAACCCTTCTCTTAATGGATGAGAGCAGGTTCACACTGAGCACATGTGACAGTTGAGTCTGGAGATGCCGTGGTGAATGTTGGGATGCCTGTAACACAGACATCTGTGTTAATTAATGCCCTGATCCAGGTCTGGGAGGAGATCACCTTGGACACCATCCGCCTAACTCATCAAGAGCATGCCCAGATGTTGCCAGGAGTGTATACAGGCCCTTGGAAGCCATACACACAACTGAATCAAATTTTGCGTTGCCTTGATGAAATTAAATTTTTTCTGCATAAACTGCTAATAAAGTAAAAGGAGCAATCTTCATCGATTTGAAGAAAGCATTTGTTCTGGTTGACCACTAAATTCTTTTAGACAAACTCTACTCTTTTGGTCTGTCTCATAATGCTATACTATGGTAAAAACTCTTATCTTCATAACAGGAGACAATTTGTTTTTATTTTAGGAAACAGATCTGATACAATAATACAAGAACGAGGTGTGACAAGGCTCAACTCTTGGTCCACTGCACTTGTCTTTATGTTTCGATGATATCCCCACTATTTGTTCAGAATGTTGTGTTCATCTTTATATTACTCACTGAAACATGAGAACAAAAACTACTTGTCTCAATCCTTTTGCATTGGTGCAATTACCACCGCTGCTGCCTTGGTCCCTAAATCCACTGTGAAAACCATGACAAAATTATCTCAGCTCAAAAGACTATGATTTCTAATGCCGGAAAAGGTAGATCTTTCAGTCATGTAATTAAATGCTGTGTTTGGGTGCAATATCTGCTTAGTTGATCATTTTAGAGGTCTGCAGCATGCTTGCTGCTACACATTGATATTTCACATATCAACAGAGGTGCACCAACTTCAACTCTTTTGCGGGTTAAACCATTGGTAAGACATAATGACACAATGTGGTTTAGGAATGCATATTTATACTTAACTAACAATAGGATGTGAAGATCTACATCCAACATAGAGAGTGACAGCTATTCTAGCCATTCATTGATGTGCTGTCCGTCCTGGGAGAGGCACACTCAGGTTTCTTGTAGTTTTTCCTTACTCTTGTTGAGGGTTAAGGGCAAAGGATTTCCCACCTTGTTAAGCCCTATGAGACAAACTGTGATTTGTGAATTTGGGCTACGCAAATAAAAAATCGATTGACTGTTTGATTAATTGAATATACCTTATAATTAAATAGGCACTATGCAAAAGTCTGTCAAATAATTCACATCAAGGTTATTGGTCTGTTGTCCAATCCAACACTTTTGTATTGGAATAATGAACATTTAGCCTCTGTAGCTTGGTAGCAAGCCTTTAGAAGTTTTCTATGTTTAGTATTTGGCTTTATACAGATTCATGTCAAATTTGGCCCATATTGTTATATGGCTTCATAGATTATCATTTTAACCTCAGCTTGCTCGAAGTTAATGGTATCTTTGTATTTAAAATAGGCATTTCTTCATGTTGAGACATCACAAGCAAACAAAGTTTGAAACAAGCTTTGTATTAGTGCATGTGCTGAGCCTGTGCTGAAGAAAGTTTAGACATAAATGATTAGCATACCTTTAAGTTTGAGGTATGACAGGAAGTCAATGATGGTGTGGATGAGGTCTTCATCTGCTATTCTTAGGGTACCTGTGGAGACAGAGCAAGAAAGATCAGTCTTATGTCATCTAAAGTTAGCTATAGACTGTAAGGTTAGCTCTGGTAACAATACATGGGGAAATGGATGTCTCCAGATACCTTTATTATACCTTCATACAAGGACAAATCTTATAGAATCCCTCAACAGTTGTTCAACATAAAAATGATGGGAAATACAGAGAAATGTAACTAATCAATGTCTGATATGAATTAATCAGTATTTTTTTTTTAAATGTGAGCATAAAACAAAATGTAAAGGCTTCTTAAATGACCAGTGCCACTGTGAAGGTTGCTTGGGTGTAGTTAGGTTGATCTAAAAAATGTTTCATTGTTGCAGCCTAGTTTGTAGCTTTACACATTAGTCAAGTTTGTGTGGAGAGAGTACCTTGAACATGTAAAATAAAATCTATAAAATATAGGAAGATTGTCCTGATTCTGAGTGAAAGACAGACAGACCTGTTCTGAAGTCTTCCTCCTGGCCCATATCTCTCTTTCCAGCCAGACCGGGCTTGTCTCCTAATGTCCTGTGTCCATCTATTCCATCTGGACAATGAGGGGTGAGCACAATTGATACAGTCATATGAACAGCAGATTGGTCAGCTGAGTTTTTGATTGTTTCCTGCACTACATTAATTTCACTTGAAATTGCAGCAGTGGCATGATGAAAAGTTACAAGTTCAGTTCACCTTGATGAAAAGATAAGTATGAATTTCTACTGCTCCAGGATTTCCATCATTTAGCTGTAAATTAAATTATTTTATATTTGATTGAACTAAAAACACTGTCTGTTTAGGATCTACCAAGTCTGAATTGTTGAGATGATTTCAATAACAACAAAAGACACACATTTCCTAAATATTCCACCTTTACATTGAACACATACACACTGAACACATGGCACACTTCTATCTAGTTCTTATAAAAGAAGATAAAATCATTGTTGTACACTAGATTATTTTGTCAAAATTTTTGGTTTGTAATCATGTGGGTTTATTTCCAAACTTGTACGGACCAACTGCAGGGCTTGGCTCACAGAATTGCAGTAAAACAAAGATTAGACTCACTGAAGAAATAAAAAGCACATTTATGTTGGATGAAGTGTAGTTTTAACACAAAGGAAATGCATTAGAACAATAATGACAATAAATACTACAAATAATGGACGAGCAAAGTGCCATAGTGGTAGGTACACCATTAACTCTCAGTGTATTCTCAAAGAGTTTTCAGCAGCCTAAAGATAGTGAAATGCCCTAGTCCTCACTCAATAAGCTTGCCAAAAATTAAACATTCAGTAAACAACCTATTTCGATTTTATCAGCTATGCATTCTGGAGGCATGAGTGAATGACTGAAGTAATACTCATATCATTCACGGCTAAATGAATAACATACATCTTGGAAAAAAGGTTAAATATATTTTAAACATAGTGTAAAGATTCTGGAAATCGAATCGAAACAGAACTACGTGATGGTAAATTAAGTTACCTTCTATTTTTACAAACCGAGGTTCACATATAATCTTTTAGATGATATGCATGTTTTCAATTGATTTATTTAATGGACATGCATATTCACTCCACAACAGAAATCTATCTAAAAAAAACAGAACTAGAAGGGAACTCAGTAGAGGGCAAACACCCATCAAGGCCCAACAGTCTCCTTATGAAAACCATATTTAAATTCATTAGATCCAGATTTCTATTTTGATCTGGGCAAATTTACACACACTCATAAATTCAGTCCCCTGAACATGCCTTATTATTTTCAAGAGTCAGAATTATTCTCTGAATTGCATCTCGCATTGTTAGAGAAGGTTAAAAAAAAATCTGTTGGTTTGTACGTAATCCTGCAAATGTACTGAGAATCACACTGCAATGAAAACAGCATTCTTGGTGGAGGGACTTTGCAGCATTAGCTTCCAGCCTTTTTCAGATATGAGTTTTCATCTCAAGTTCATGTACTCATCGCATCATTTTATTTGAGTGTTCATGATGTGTGATTGAAGAGGAGAGGGGCTGAGTAACAAGAATTGTTGACTCATCTTAGGTGCTTCGTCACTAGCTAAAGTAGTTCTTGAGCTGCTACCCCCTGAACTTTATATGCATGCATTAACTGTAAGCATTTAAATCCAATTAAAATAGATTACATTCAATGGAGGGACATTTTTTATTTTATATATACAGTATATGTATATATACAGTATATATATATATATATATATATATAATTTGTCTGTAAAATACAAACTCTTGTCTCTGCTGGCATGTTTTGATCTGTATTTATAATAATATATAAATGCCTTGTGTTTGTAGTGTGCCTTGTAGCACTTATTAATGTATATTATGTTTCATTTTATATTTTCCTAGAAAGTTTATTTTACAAGATAATATTTTTGGTGTTTCACCTTAACCCGATGGTCCACAGTCTAGAGCCGGACAAGAAACAAGGGCAGTAAGAGGGGTATGACATGAAACAAAGGTTCCCTGACTGGGAATCAAAATGTCAAAGTTGCCTGTTATAAGGTATCAACCTTAATTGTCCTCCTGTAAAAAAAATTGACAGTATGTGGTCTGAGCATGCGGCTTATTGCGACCCATAGTTGGATTATATAATTAGGTGACCTCTAATAGAAATTACTAAAATATATAAGAAAGTTTTAAAAGTTTAAGTCAATAAAGGAAGTCAGGTGATACGCAGAGAGGGGTGGGTGGACTGGTGGCCGAAACAGGATCCCTGGGTAAAACTGATGCCTAAACCTAACCAAACCATGAGATTTCCATAACCTTAACCACGTGTTAATTATGGTTACCATGATAACAAAGTTCTGCTGCTGGTAGACTGCTTCGGTTCATATCTAAGGTAAGGGACAAAAGACCAATATGTAGGTTGTAATATATGTAATGTAAGTTGCGATATCGCCATTCAGCCACCAAGAATATAAAGCATCTACATACAGTACGTGAACATTAAATGATTTTTGTTTTACATCAAACGAGTAAAACAATCTCTGTCTGCATTATTGCTACATTACAGTTGGGTATATTACTGTTAAAGAAAACTGAATAGACAAATATTTGTGTTACCTCTAACAAAGAGATCATGTTCTAATTGTTGTTGATCTGTTTGTCTCTTTGCAGGATTACACAAAAACTGCTGAACCAATTATCTCCTGGTGTAAGGATTGGGCATTATCCAAGGAAGAACTAATTAAATCTTGGCACAGTTCAGGAAAAAGTGGTAGATATACATTTTTTTATCACTATGGCATTTTTGACAATTGCACAGATTTCTCAGCAATTTATGCAAGGCTCATGGAGACAAAAAGTCACACCTGTTTAGAGGACTGGTATGTATGTGTATGCAATTTGGTGAAGCTTGATTGAATTTAAGGAGACTTTTTGTGGAGGTATCTGCTCTAGGAGGTTCAATTTTAATTATTTAATGTGTTGCCACATGGTCTGTATTTAAATAGCACATTCTTTTAAGAATATTCTCTTAAGAGAAGAAGTGAAACGAATTGAAACAAAGAAATTAATGTTGTCTTGGCTTCATTGGAAATTGGATTCAGAATTAAACTCTGATCACGATTTCAAAGAACTGACTCTGATCATGTGCTTCCCTCTCTGAAAAACAAGGCAAAAGTCCCTGAAATAAGCAAAAAGAAAATATTGCTGCTTTGATTTATCACCAAATTTAAATTGGATGACCAACTGAAATTGATGTTACCTTGACCAATTACTTCAATATCGTTTCAGTCTGAAAAAATAGTTTTCTTGAGGCGTTACAGAGATATAACATTCACAAGGCAAAGCCCGTGTTTTGAGAGGTAACAGTGAAGTTGACCTTTGACCAACAAATTCTAATCAGGTTATCCATGAGTCCAATGCAATATGCCAGATGCTAAGAAATTCTCCACGGGCATTCTTCACATATCACGTTCACAGCAATGTGAGTGACCTCGACCTTTGGACCTTCGACAACAAAAATCTAGACAGTACCTTTTTGAGTCCATGTGAATATTAATTTATAATATCACATTCAAGAAAATCATAAACATGATTTGTGAGGCAACCATGACCTTGACCTTTGACTACCGAAATCAATGCAGTTCATCCTTGAGTCCAAGTGAATGTTTGTATCAAATTAGATGAAATTCCCGTTTTTATCCTTATATTATCTATATTGCACCCACGAGAATGGGATGGTCGGCTGGACGGAAAACCCAAAAACATAATTCCTCCGACCACTGGCTGTTGCCCTCGCGGAGATATAAAAACAATGTTGTCTCACGTTGAATTAAAAGCAAGTCATTTGATTAAAACGGTGATAGAAGAATGGATTACCATCTCTCTTTTTAAATAAACATGGCCTTATTTTGACTATGATTATGTACAGATAAAAACTGCCCTTCACAACGATTCTAACTTGTATCAACAGGTATCCAGGAAGACTCCCAATTTTTAACAAAAGTGTGCAAAATAGTTAAAAAAGGGACTAAGTTCATAGTGAAATTAAAATCAAACCTTGGTTCAAAACAATTGATGGGCGCAAAGGATGAAAAACAGTTCCCTATTCCAATTGAAAGAGGTTCTGTCTCTCAGATATGAGGCAAGAAATGCAAGCTAGGAATTGAGGTACAGCACAAGGAAATTTTCAGTATTATCAGTATCATTTATTATCAGTATTTTTCAGTGAGGAACACCACATTTATAGAACTGCTATCTCAATATCTTCTTGCCACACATTTATCTTCGACTTGAAACAAGATCATTTACACCGTGTTTGAAGCCTAAAAGTCCAACGATTTTGTTTCCAAGGGTCCGTGAATGCACCTCGTAGGAAAACTTCAGAGGATTTTGAGGCTTAGAACATGGTGTAAATGATCTTCTTCCCAGTTGAATATGAACGTTGGGGCTTGTGTACACCTGGATGACATCACACAAGTAGTATGGAGGCATGTCATGTTTTTTTGCTTTTTTTTATTATGTCTGAAGTCACCATTGACTTTAATTGTATTGGATTCTGCTACAACGCTGTTTATCCCTAAAACTCCAGAAGGGTTTTGTGGACTCTAACACTTCACCCACCCCTCCATCGGTAGATAGTGAGTGAACTATCCCTTTAAGTATAAATCTTATTCTACCAAATGATGTCTGCAAGGGTGGAAACACACAGCAACTGTCCCATTTTGTAACTTGCGTGCTAATTTGTAACTGTAACAAGCGTCACTGTAAGATTCAGTCTGTTATGAAGACATAGCAGAGCTGAGAGGTAATTTTATAACCTCTTCTCTTGTAAAGACAACAATGCCATGTCTCGACATGTGACCATCACTACCACCTGCTCCTGACATGAGAATAATGTGCCTCAAAACAACTCCTGCACTGCCTTATCAACATGTTATTTGACAAAAGGAGAATAAAAACTGTAAATGTGAGACAAAAAGGTTTTAGTTACTGAATTACTAGCTAACATGATGCAGTATGAGACAGCTTTGATGTAGGTGCAAAGAATATTTTATTTTACTATAACTTGAGTTAAACTAGGCCAACCTGTTCCCACAGTATCTATCTATGAACACACAAGAAAACAGATCAGGGTGGCGGAGCCATTAAATTTTTTTTTTCCCTTTTTCCCTTACTCTTGTTGAGGGTTAAGGACAGAGGATGTTGCACCTTATTAAAGGTACAGTGTGTAGAATTTGTGATATGGTTGAATTTAGTTTCAGCTGAACACCCCTCACCTCACCCTCTCCTTCCAAACATGAAAAAGAAACTGTGGTAGCTTCAGTTGTCATAAAAACTCAAAAGGTGTTTAGTTTGTCATAGAGAGGACCCCTTCTATGTACATATAAAGTATTTAAATATAAAGGGCTTTTTCTTGGGTAAAGAAAACTACAATTCATACAATTTAGATGAAACAAACTAGGGAAAACATCATGAGGATTATTCTACATTAAATTTCTGCCAATAGTTCCCTTTCACCTAAATCTTACAAACTGGACCTTTAAGGCCCTTTGAGACAAATTGTGATTTGTGAATATGGGCTATACAAATAAAATTTGATTGACTGATTTATTTACTTTTTTTTCTTTCTAACATTGTGAGGTAGGTTTTTTTTTAATTTTCACTGACAATTCATGGAACTTGATAAAAAAACGTCTGGCATATTGAGGAGAGTGATATCTATGTGAGCAATTTGGTGGTCCTTGATTCAATTTAATGGGACTGCTTGTCATCTAGGTAAGTACGTATGAGCTCTTTACCATTCTAGTTTATACTGTGTTGATGTTTTATCTCAGAATCTTTTCATGATAGCCATGAATTTCTGACAGTTATGGAACTTCCTTCCGTGGGAAGACAACTGTGCATGTGCCAACAGCCTGTAACAAAATGGCTGCAGTACCCTTCATTGAGAATGTCATATAAATAAAATATACTATTAACATGAATAGAATCAATTCGGCTAATAAAATATAACAAGTCTGATCTCATTCTACTGACTAGCTAACCAAGATGGCTAATTAAATCTGGTGTAACTAGCAGTGGAGGTTTCCATTTTAGAATATGCTCGTAAGATGGAGTATAGTTTGTCCTATTCTTTAAAGTTTTTGACAATGGGTAAACAGTGTGTAATCTCACTGTACCAAAGTCTTTCTTTCCCAACAGACATATGAGATCAACATGAAAGCACAGAGAGAAATGCAAAACTTGGATGCAAAAGCACAAAGAGCAGCAGGATGACAGATGTTCTACTCTGATGACTGGCAAAAGTAGCTAAGAGAATGGATGTTTGAACAGAGCAATTCTAGGCCTGACACCAAGGCCCTGCAGCAGCCGTATGTTTCTATCTTACATTGAGTGACCAGCTCGTCTCTGCCTCTGGCACTGGGAGAATCCTTTATCTGAATTAGGTGATCAATACGACCTGAAACACAGGATGAGGCAGGAGCAACCTTTACCTAGGCTTCACACACACACATACATACGCGCACGGAAACCCAGGGTTCACTTTATGTCCCTCAAAAGGTAATGAGGCAATCTCTAAATTACACTCAATTACCTCACACATTGGAGACAGGGGACAGGGACAAAGAAAGAAAACAGAATTGATTCACAGAATATGAGTTAGACTATGTTGTATAAGCTATGTTACATAGGCAGCATTTTCAGGCAATACATGTACAAGTAAAATGTTAAAATTATGCTCAGTGGTTATTATGTAGCAATAGATGCACAGAGAGCTGAGGTCCTCAAATAAAAGCTTACATACATGCCCAACCTTTGGTTAAAGCTATACTTGAAGCAATAATTCAGCTTATGCACTTTCATGCCAAGAGTTAGATGAGAAGATCAACCCCACTCCATTACCTGTTATATATGAAGATACAGCCTGGAAACAGGTTAATACCTTATCTGATTCAGTCCAAAAGTCAGCGTCTACCAAGAGCTCTAAAGTACACTACTTCACATTATACCTAACTTTTTTAATCTGTGAAAATATTATTAGTTATTTTGCAATTTGGTTTTTGCATAGACGTGTGGACAGAAACACCACTCTGTGTATATAAGCTGCTGCTTGCAAGTACATTTACCATATAGACTTCATGTGCCATTTGTAATTTTCCTGTCTGGCACCCTTATAGTCAAAAATGTGCTGGCCTTAAAAAGAGTTGTGGTCAGACACATCGTTGGCACACTGCAGAGGACAGCAATCAAGTTTTTATCAATATAAACCTTGTCAACAGTATTTCAGTGTTATATTTTGGAAAAATATTAGTAATATGCACTTATAAGCTGTTACACAATGTGGGCATACTGTGCTTGTTAAACACACAGATCTGCTTGTGTGTGAAGTCAAAACCATTTCCTCTGCAGAGTGTGCTCTCTAAGCGCCCAGCAAATCCCCCATGACTATATCAATCTTCCAAAGTGACAGCCCACCTGGCTTTTAAAGGGAATGAAAGATGGCACTCAGATTGGTTTATTGGATGTTACAGCCAAAATCCACCCATGATAAATTAAGAGACTAAGTACAACTGGTACACATGTCTGCTGGGTGACTTTCTTTCTGCTGTTAAACTAACAAACATGAATTTGGAAATGTCCTAAATGCATTTGCAACACATGCTTTTGATCATGAGATGAGACATAGATCATTATAAGATTATATTGTGGCAATGTTATCAATGTTAACATTGTATCTAGAGTATGAATTAGGCTTCCACTTTCATTTCAGAACTACCAACTTACATGGAACCTTTAAACAACAGTGCAGCTGTAATGCTGCTTTAGTTTCTAAATAGTAGGGAAAAAAGTGAAGTCATGTAAATTCAGACATTAAGCAGAATAATGTCTTTCATTCAAGCTTTTTTTCAGGTTCAGGGATTGTATTTATGCAAATTCAGATAAGAACATGTATTCATACATATCTGCCCAACACAGGTTACGGAGCATTATAAATTCACTTCAGCAGCTGAGAATAGATGGAGAGGACCGAATTTATCTATAGACCCTTCACCCAGTAGATATTTAGACTTGCCATAGAAGAAAAACACATAATAATAACATTAACAAAGGCTTTACTCCATTGAGTACCCTAGTAAACCATGTCAATAAGTGAGCAAGCACAACACCACAGGCCTAGAACTGGATTGCCTCAATGGAATGCAATCATTCTGTATATAAATGTAATATTGATGTTCTGATAAAATGCTGGTGATCCAAAAGTGTCCAAATTTGCGATGGCTTCACATCACATTTTTTCCAGGCAGCTGATATCTGCTCTCACTCAAACCTTGCTTAAGGCAGCAGTGCCAAGCTGACTTGAAACAAATTGTTGTCTATCTAAAATCTCTTTGAATCATCAATCTGTGTGTGTGTGTGTCCGTGCACATGTATGCGGCCAGTACTTACGGGGACCCAACAAGTAGCCAGCACTGTTCAGAGTCCAGCCACGCTTCTCCTTCGCCTGCAGGATGCAGAGACACACAATGATCAATTGTACAGGTTTACTGTCGGATCTCTAAAACAGTGTCAAAATATTGTAAAAATGACTTTGCCAAGTAAGTAAATGAATACTACCTCTGTTACCACTGTCTCTATGTTGTAGTTGACTCACTATCCTGCTGAACATTTTAATAATTCTGAAGATATATTCGCTCCCCCCAACACACACACACACACCCACACTGTACTGATGTTTTCAAACCCAATATACCTGAATTATTTCAACTAAACTCTCATTTTAAATACTATACACTCTTTGCCCAATTTTATAGCATTAACCATTAAAAGAAACATTAATTGAAACACACAGAAGCTGATCATAAGGTGGCTTTGCTCTCAACTGCACACATCTGTGAACAACATTCTTTTTTTTACTGTGATTTGGGGAGTTCTTTTATATCATTGCTCATTTGTTACTTTTCTATTATCATTTTATATATATGATGGTACATGCAACTTGGTTCACCCATTAACAGTAAACCCGTGCAGGATGTTACACATCTTACCGCGATGACCAACCCGATGGTCTCTGAGAGAGTTGCACAGAAGATGAGCGACACGCAAAAAAACCCAAGGCACTTCTGCATCTGAAACAGAGAGGGAAGAAAGTGAAGTATTTGAAAGCTATTCTGCCTAAAACGAATCGAAAATATTTTGTAAAACATTCACTTTGTCTGTATAAAGTTGATAAAAACAGTAACTAACCTTTGATGTGACTCTCCGCCGTCAGTTCTGCTCTGAATTCACAGGTTGCTCTGTAACTCCGTGGTTGGGATGAGAAGAGGATTCCGTGCACCTTTTATTGTCCTTCCAGCCCGAGCCCGCTGCTGTCAGGTGGCGTCAGCAGCCCCCTCCTGCCGGCAGGATGGCAGGTCACGAACACAACGCATAATGAAATTCTATAATATCATATAATTGTCCGATTTTTCTTTGTCGCCCTCGGAGACATGAGATTAAATTTTAAAAGGGGAAAATAGACTACGCCTGCGTGATTCCTCTGTCCTAATTTAATATCTGACTTTAACATGCTTACATGCTCCACGGAGTTTCAAATGTCTCTGACGAGTAACAATCAAACGTCTTTTTGTCAATAATTAGCATTGATTACATT